GGTATTTGTTAATGTGTTCTTCTTTTTGATTTATAATTTCTCTTCTCAGTCTTTGGATAGCCCTATTTAATAACTTTTTGTCTTCTGGTGCTTTTGTTTTTGTTACCAGTTCTCTTATCTCGAAGGGGTAGTTTTACAGTTCTTAATCTTCTTACTTTTGGTGTGTTCCTACATCATACAGCTTGCTGGATTTCAGTTGTAATCTTTACCAGTTCTTTAAAAAACTATACCAAAAGAATCTATATTATGACAACACGAATATCTTACAAAGACAGGAGCTCTTTAATCGAATAAAATATTCTTCAGCTTGATTTGCTGTTTTTGGTCATTCACCAGTGGGGTTTTATAGCAGGAACTAGTTTTCATCAACCATTGTTTCTAGATTTACAACCCTACACCAGATAATCTAAAAAATCTATCATTATGTTGACTACTCAGTACAATAAATGTTTCGTAGAGTCGTCAGATGGACTTCAACGGCAATCATAAGACCTATGCTAATACAGGCTGCAGTTATCTAGTTACGGAAAACCTAACAATCAACAACTATCTGCAAGCTAGGACAAATACAAAGAACAACATGTCTCAACATGATAGGAGCAAGTCATTCTTATTCTCACACCCCTTGATATTTATTTTCAAGTAGGCAGCTCTAATGACAATGATACGACTCTTGATGATTGAAATGGAACCTAATGTAGGACGTTGTTTTTGGCGGGAGGCGCACGATACACTTCCACTACTTTAAACGATCATGGACTCCATCTAACCAAGACATATCTTCTATAAGCCATATAAAGGCAGCCAACCAAATACTCTTTGGACCTGGCCATTCTATTGGAGTGACAATATCGGTAGTTCAAGAAAAGTTGGGATGAAACAAAAAGCTGCACCACAGCAAATACTTTACTATGACTAGCCACAATTTTCACCTGATCACAGGTATTCTAACTGGTCATTGTCAAGTACTCTGAAGGGGGTACGAATAAGAAAATGAAACAACCGAGCATATCCTCTACGATTGCTCGACGCTCCCATTTATTACAAGATTTGTGTTCGGCGAGTTTGGCTGTAGGATGGCTGACTAGAGGGGCCTCTCAACTTAAGAGGATGCCTAATGGGCCTAGTGAGATAAAGTTACACTATAATGAATATGTTATGCATTATAATCTCCTTCTAGGACGAACCTTTATCCTTGGCCGTAAAAAATCTATGAATTGATCTTTCTTAATACCATGTCTTGGCGGGTATATAATATATAATTGAAATAACGTTTCGTAATAATTTTACGGTTAAATCAATTTGAATTGAGGGAAAGTAAACTGGTTAAATGCAAAACATAATTTATGGAACTAAATATTCTGGTTGTTTGAATATTAAAATGAATTAACATTAAATTTCCATGCAGAATAAATTATTAACATTTTATTCATATATATAAAATGCACAAATTTCTTTTTAAGATGTGGGTCAGGACGCATTGACCATTTTAAAACAGATGTATAGCGTAGACATCAACGTAGACCACGAAACGATCAATTAGATAGATATATCAGAAGTTATCCATAACACTTTCACATATTTTTTTTCAAAAGTTAAATATCAAATAATGTTTCGTTATTACATACGGTTTTATCAAATTTTTCAATTACATAGGTACCATTTTCGCAATTTTTAAATGGTTTTAAATTGAGTAAGTAACTATTAATACCAAAATAGTGTGGCAACTCTGATTCTGATAAATAATTGCACATAACAGGTTTTATTATAGTATAAAAATGTAGTTGGCGAGTAATTTAATGTTGTTTAAAAGCTTTTTTAATTATTCTTAAATTATCAGTTTTAGGTCAGATAAAATTAAGTTATTAAAGTCGAATTTAAACATTAAAATTGTCCTAAAAAATGTTGCGGAAAGAGCAGTAAAAGTGTATATTACTAATTATAATCTAATAAATTTGATTTCCTGACTTGTTTTTTGCTCAACAATATTAAAAAAATAGGTAACACATTTTATGTAATATTAGCGACTAAACCAAATAGATAATATTTATTTTTTTTATTGTTGATTGTCAGGAAAGGAATATATAATATTTGTAAATTGCTCAATTAGTTCTCGTCTACGTAGAAAGTTTTAAGTAGAGGAAGTTTGAACTGTATAGGTATAGATGTAGAAAAATCTAATTTTTGTATCTAATGAAGTGGGTTGCTTGCTACTTTCCACGGAAGTGTTCTAAAAGTTAAGAATTTAAAATCCGTTACTAGGAAATTAATATTTCTTAAATCTCTATATTATTAACGTTATGTTAGATTAGGATCAAAATGAGTTCGCCTCCACCACAACGTTTGATCAAGGCTATGGTTGAGTTAGATGATACTTGTTTAAATTAGTAGACTCTAGTAGGGTAAAGTCAAAGATCTGTATCCTTATTCTTTTCAACGCGGAGTGAATACATAGAATGACAATTTAAAATGTATCCTGAAGTTACGCAATAGAGTCTTCCAAAATTGAAGGTTGAACATATTACTTTAAAATTAAAGTGTCTTATGCAATATTAATACTAATATATGCGTAGAGACATTTTATATCATCAGATATAAAAAATGCTAGGTAATTTATTAGTATTATAGAATTTTAGTCATTGTGATATTGTATATGGTCCTTGTTTAAACATTTCCGAGTCTGGAAGAATTCAAAAATTGCAGAAGTCTTGTGATCATAAATATGATCATATTTCTACTAAATTAAAAAAAAAATAAATGATTAAATATAGAAGAAGTTTACATTTTGCTTGCCTCGGTCAAAAATTATCTGATATAAAGACACCTCTATACTTTCATAAAAAAACTGATATTCATGACCTACATAATTGTTTTAAATCCATACTTAAATTGACTAGATTTTACAAAGCTAATTTTAGAAGTTCTTTTGCATACATTGTCATAGTCCATATCAATAACCTGTTAAAAATTGATCCAACATTATTACATTTAAAATAAAGGATTCATAAACTGTTTTAAAAATAATTCAACAAATCAATAGCAATGCTAAAGGAGAGGAAGTCATTATTATACAAATGCTTAAACTTTGCTTTCCAATTATAAGTTATTACATCACTCATACTATTAATTGCTGTCTTAAGATTGGCTTCTTTCATAATTCGTGAAAAGATGCTTTATTGTCGCCACTTCCTAAAGCAGTGGTCGCCAACCTGTCGATCGCGAGCTACCGGTAGCTCGCGGAGGAAATTCTGGTAGCTCTCACAACGATTTTAATTTAAAAAATACAAACTGCAAAAATCAGAGAAACTTCCGAAAATTCCACAAAAAAATCTAATTGTCATAATATTAAACATAAACAGCGGCAACGTTGCGGTGAGCGATCTGCGGCTGACGCCATCAAGCAAGAATCGGCTAGAACCGACCAGCCGGACTAGCGCGTTAGTGTTCGAGAACGGTCAGGATTGCTTTGAACGGGATAAATACGCACGGCGCGGCGACATTGCGCTTAGTTTAAAACTGAACGCGTAACCAACGTCCAGCGGTTGGGTTAGTAGAGAACAACAAAAAATAATATTATGGCAAGCAGTTGTAAGAAGGTAAAGACGTACCACTTTCATTCGGAATGGGAAGAACAATACTTTTTTACAGAAGTTAAAGATAAAAATGTGTGTTTGTTATGTAATACTTCGGTCTCCGTTGCTAAAAAAGGAAATATTGAGAGACATCATAAAACTGTACATTCTAATTTTGAAAAATCATTCCCACTACATTCTGCTGCCAGAAAGGAGAAACTGAAACAGTTAAAAAAGCAGTTAATTGGACAACAATCAAAATTTTTAAGAACAGACGACAAAAATAAGGCTGCAACTGAAGCATCGTACCGTGTGTCCCAGATAATTGCACAAAAAAAGAAACCTTATGAAGACGGGGAAATGATAAAACAGGCGTTTTTAGAAGCTGCTGATTCGTTATTTGCCAACTTTAGAAATAAAGACGAGATAGTTTCAGCTATAAAATCTATGCAACTTTCTGCTAATACAGTGATGATACGTGTAGAAGTAATGAGCAATGATATTTTTTTACAGTTAACAACTGACTTAGATAACTGTGTTTATTTTTTACTTCAACTGGATGAATCAACAGATGTCGTTGACACTGCCCAGATGGCTGTGTTCGTCAGGATGGTTTTTAGTGATTTTACGATTAAAGAAGATCTTTTGAAGTTTATTCCACTGAAAGGACACACTACTGGACAGGAGTTGTTTTCTCATTTAAGAAATATTATTTCTACCGAGAAAATTCCAATATCGAAAATGGTAGGCTTGACAACCGATGGCGCTCCAGCTATGGTAGGTTGTGATAAGGGTCTGGTGGCGTTATGTCGTAAAGATTAAACTTTTCCGCAATTTCTCTGTTACCACTGCATTATCCATCAGCAAGCATTATGTGGAAATTTCCTGAAACTAAACAACGTTATGAAACTGGTGGTAAAAATTGTGAACAAGATTAGAGCTCAAGCGTTACAAAGAAGATTATTCAAAACCTTGGCCGATGAAGTTGACTGTCAATACGGGGACCTACTCCTTCACTCTGAAGTCCGATGGTTAAGTAGAGGACGGGTGCTGAAAAGTTTTAATGATGTCCTATCTGGCATAGTTCAATTTTTCAAACAATGCGATGAACCGGAACTAGAAAATTCAATCTGGCTTAGATGAGATTTTGGTTTTCTCGTGGACATTACAGAGAAATTAAACGAACTTAATTTGCAGCTTCAGGGGAGAGACAAAGAACTATCGGAAATGATTTCTGATATAAAAGCATTTATCAAAAAGCTGGAGTTTTGGGAACAAAACCTAATTAACAGCGATGCCAAGCATTTTCCTATTCTTTCAGAAAAAATATCTCAAAATCCATTAGAACCCTATGACAGCAAATATCATGTAGAAATAGTTTTTACCCTGAAGAATAACTCCAAAAATCGTTTTAAGGATTTCAACGAAATGGCTTTAGTAGCGCAGTTTGTTGTTTCACCCTTTATGGAAATTGATATCCAACAGTTTGCAACTTGTGTTATGCAGAACTTTTGCGAAGACATCGCTGCAACAGAAATGGAAGTAATTGAGTTTCAAAATAATTTAGCCTTAAAATCGTACCAAATGTATCTGGCCTATTGTAAGTAAAGACAAATATTCAGTTCTATGCCGTGTTGCCTTGAAAATGTAAGCATTATTCAGTTCAACCTATTTGTGTGAATCTTCTTTTTCCAATATGAAATTTATTAAGAACAAATATCGCAATCGACTTACAGATGAACATTTGAATAATTGTATTCGAATGGCTGTATCAAATTATACTGCAAACATTAAAAAATTATCGATGAGTCTGAGTGTCAGCCTTCTCATTGAACGTGCTTTTTTATTTTTCAATGTTTATGTTCATGATAGTGCGTTACTTTTTTGTTGTTATTATTAACTATTTTTTAATCTTACGTGACATGCCGTTGTGGCTGGATAAAAGTTTGTGTTTATTTTTCAAACACCTTCGTTTGGTAGGTAGGAATGTAGCTATGAACAAGAACGTACTAGTAATATTAGTTATTTTGTTATTACTTTATTATTAGTACCTATGTATTATGTATTACCAGTTAAATAGTAAAATAAATACATATAATGATAAATTAACTGTGGATTATTTCATTTACGTTGCGTTACGTGGCTTCCGTGTGGGTAGCTCGCTGTTTATTCCAAAATTAACAAAGTAGCTCAGCACATTGAGAGTTTGGCGACCACTCTCCTAAATTATATCCAATCCTGTGTCATGCAATTATCTACGTTCTATCAGCTTATTATGTATACTTTTAAAAATATTAGATCAATAATTATTCGGATTTATAAGCGGTTATAGTACAGTAACATCCCTAACAAGAGTTTGTAATGACATTATCAGTTATTTGGTAAATAGATGTATAAGTTCTCTTAGATTTCACTAAAGCTTTCGATACTATTAATCACAAACTTTTTATTATTTAAATGCAAATATTTTGTATTTTTGGCTCTTAATGTTAAGTTTAACAAACTAATTTAACTGTTAATTTTTGTTTCTATTATTTTTAATAATATTTTATAAATTGTTAAAATTAAAAAAGAAAACTACAACGTTTTATTGTAAACAGGATCTATTAAAATATTAATCAGCATTTAATTACGTAACAAATAATGTTATACGAAAAGATTAAACGTTGTATGGATATAATGGGTTCCAAAATTCTTGTATAGCCTGCAACTGAAATCAATTAAGAGTAGTTTACCGCGTCGAACAGCGCTTTCACTCACCGCAAAATTATAACATGAAAATAATTTTATAAAATTTCAATTATGTCACGATTGACGAGACTTTAAAACGTTCATAGCCTGGAACGATAAACAATATTTTAATATTTTATCTTATAATATACTTACATTATAAACACAATAAATAGTAGAAGCTATTTTGATTATAGGAAACGAAGATTTCTAAAATATACCTATCATATAAAAAAATTTATTTCATTACGCATATTCTGTAAAATCCCTTAAAAATAACCATCCGACATAGGAAATTGACCTTCTATGTAGTTTAAATAGTTTTTCACAAATTTCTCTCTGGTCAAATTGCAACTTTGAATAAAAATCGTAGAAAAAGTAAAATATTATTTTATTTATTTTATTATAGTTTAGTATGTTTTCAATCATAAATAATCTTCGCATTACGAGGGGTAAGGAATAGTTTTGAAACTATAAATTAAGAATTCCCCGAGAATAAATCAATTCAATATTTAATAATTTATTACACACAAAAATCTCGTGCTAAAATGAAAACAAATAAATTTTAATTGATCCCATTACCATGTTTAACATGAAATTTGTGTCTAATCAGACGTTAAATTATTTTTTAAACAATACATAATTTTAGTGAAATAAATTACCGTTCCCGGAAAATTGGTCTAAAAAGAAGGTCTAAAACAATTGATTTAATATCAAATGGTCTAAACAAAGATGATCTAAAATACATTTGGTCTAAATACATCTGATTTAAATCACTTATTATCTAACTAATGTTGATACAAAAATAATATAAAATAAGGAATTGAAACGTTTATATGATACAGATGCAGATTTTTCAAAGCTCTTGCAGACCAATTTTCCGGGAACCATAAATTACATTGGAAAAATAAGAACAAGTAAGGAAAGTAAATATTAAACTCATTATAATAATTTATTAACGTTAAAATATACCATTTTTTACAACACAATATATTGGTTTTAAAATTTTATATTGACGGAAGGAAGGGTGGCTATATGAAAACAGATTTTGTTAGTCGCTATTTTTCACTGATTTAAACCATCCTAAACTCGTTTATTTTGCGTTCCGAAAATATTTACTTGTTGTTTTTATACAAAATAAGGTACTTTATAAGTTATTGAACTTTTTCATATCAATGAATCACACCGTATATTTAAAATATGACTCGATACTCTACGTTCTTGTGGTGGTGTGCCTTTTAATTGTTAAAATAACAATAAGCAAATTAATATATCAAGATAATATTATAAGCCAATTAACTTGGCGACCTTGTGTACAGTTAGAATAAAGCAATTAAATTGTGCAACAAACGCACAATAATTTTAATGTGAATTCGATCTACGAACTTTTTGTTATCTTGATTGACTTTATAAATTTATTGATTACGATAGCTGGATAATTATTTTTCAGTGAACTGTTTTTAAGTGGTTCCGAGAACGTAAAGAGACAGGAAATATTATCAATTTTCTTCTGTTTTAATGAGAAGAATAATAATAAAATTATACAACAAATGTAACATTATACTTTGATATTAATCACAATCAATTGATTAAATCAATAAGATTGAAGTGATTGGGACATTCAGAAACAATGTCAGATACTTCAAGAATAAAAAGGGAAATAATAATCGTAAATGGAGAACCTTCTTTTTACCTTCTTTATGATAGTTTAATATTGAGAAGTTTTGGATTTGATTTTCTCCATACATTATTTTTTAATAATTGAAAAATGTTCTAATTCCTGGTACGTGAAGTAGAATACCCCCTTATTTTGGAATCTCTGATGATGTCCACATTAGTCCTAACGTGGTCGGGTCATCTAGACTGGCAACTTTGATATTATTCGTTTCCTTCTCGTACTAATACTAACTCTCTGTAATTTTCACTTTGAGATTATCATAACGTATTAGAAAGCGTTTAATAGTCGATACTGTATAATTTCTTTATGAGGTAATCAAAAGTATTACATAAAAAAAGGTGTAGGGCCCTCAGATCCTTCACAGTCCTCCAGTATCCTCACACCACACGTTTTTCCACTCCTGGCCTACAAGTGGACTGATTTTTTTATTGGCATCACAGATATTCTATTTTATGAATCAATAGTTATATCTCTGGTAATATATAATCCCTAAAAGTTCTAGATCTTCCAAGTTGTTCCGGGGATATTCGATAAAGCCTAATTCTAATATATATGGTCTTTATTATAAATGAAAATTTTGTTTCACTGCCATTATGTTAAAGTTCTTAGTAACAATTATAAGAATCAATGTATAGTGGCTTTTTTCATTGAACAAAAAAAAAGGAAATAGTTTTCTTACAATTCCATTAATACCAAGTGAATGAATTGTCGCACAAATTCTCGGAACAAACAACAGTAACATTAAAGGCAATGAATAAATCATAAAATAAGTCATTGATCCAAACTGCTACGATATTACATTTGAAATGGGTTACAGTCATCCAATTTTCACCCACTGAAATGCATATTTTTTCATTCTTATCCATAGAGAAATTATGTAATGCAATGAAAAACAATGATTATTCAAATGAGTCTTTAAAGGTTTATGTTTTTAGCGAGACTGATATTTACACAACACTTCTAAATACATTTACACAAGAGAGTTAGTTGTAGGTATCCATTATAGAACTAGTAATTGATTTAGTATCAACCATATAAAATAATAATAAATATAATTATACTTGGATGAAAGAGACAGCAAGCAGTTAATATTAACTTAGACTTTTAAACGGAACATTCTGTATTGCAGGTTATATCACACACAAGATATATTCAGTTTTATATGAAAATCGTATTGATTTTTCTTTTCAATAGCTACACTCAAAAATAAATAATTGAAAATAATTTTTGGCTCCAAATAAAATAATTATAAAATCCCGGACGAGCACCACGTTGGGCGCCAATTTTATAACGATAATTTTTGCCCGATCTACTGTTATAATTTAATCAGGGGAGATAGTAAAAAAGAATCGTGGAATCCAATGTTTCCCAAAAAGTATCACTATCTACCCCTGAAAAAAATACAATGAATATATCATGAATTTAATTTTATAGATTGGGTCGTTATCTAGTTGGTGTTGGTCTAAGTTTCAATAAAGGAAGAATGACTTTGACAAAAATGACAAAATTAACAAAATTAAAGGTTATAATTAAAAAAAATAAATGCACGTGGATCTGATACCTATCAAAAATAGCTATAAATGGTATATAATTCAAATAATTTAAGTAAGTTATGTGTTATACGATATATGGAAATATTTACCACTCTCAAATATGCATATCTAGAGTTTACACTTTGTAAATTCGTCGATGGAAAATATTACAGGTACTTCTAAATATAATCTTTAAAGTTCATTACTATATAAAATAATAAAAGAATATGTAAATAAGTATGTATCTAGTAAAGTCGAATATAAACTATATATTTCCTTGTAGTGTCAAGAAATAGACGTGATATATTTTCTCGTGTATATACCGGGCCTCTAGTGAGAGATAGGTCGCCTGGGGTATGAACTTAACTAAAGTTACCTTGTATTGATGGTTAAGGAGTCCTGAATAAACTAAATACTTGTATTGTCCGTTTGTGCACCCTTGGATAGTACAATGTGTTCTCGGTATAGTACAATGTGATCTCTGGGAAAATGTGCTTCAATTAATCCTAACTGGATAATGCGGAGTATATTCAGGATAATATACAGGAGTATGTTCAGAAGAATTTACTCAGGTACTTCCTGTTTTAAAACTTAGTTTAATT